GCACGCTCCATTTTGCGTAACTATTTTTAAATCCCGGTAGCACTGCAACCACGTAAGCTAGCGCAATAATTTCTTTTGCATATGAAACCAGAGGAGTTGTACTTACATCTTATGGCATCAGCTTGTCCTAGGTCACGGTTTCCTTCCACATAAAGCTTTGCAAAAACTGCATAAAAAGCACTTGCAGCGACAAAACATAATATTCCAGAAACACACTTTGCCGATCCAATCAGCTGTTCAAAACACTTCCTACGTCCATCAGTGCGAACGATCGCTTGTCCGCCATGACCTGCCTAAAATCGGAAGTGACGTCATTTCGCGGAAATGTAGTTTTTTACCATCAGGGCCTTATGAGCCTATTCTGGTGTTTTTAAAAGTCATGTTTGACTTTATGACTTTCTGTGTCGTTTCTGGGATGCTTGGGACTCATATTGCACTGCTGGAAAAAGTTTATTTTGATGCACATGCTGTTTTTTTGCAAATTTGCATCATAATATTTATTTTCGTTTTTCCTGCAGTATATAAAAATAGGTGTATTTTGTCGAGATGAAATATTATTTTACTGTCACTATTCATAATCCTTATTATTATTGTTGCATCATTTATGATTTGTCATTGTTATCATTTTATTGACACATTTATTGAAACTGGTGAGGTTACAGTAAAGTCTGTATTTCAGGTGTTAGCATAAGCACATAATCTTTCATTGCAGGTGCAACTGTAATCATGTTATACACATATTGCATAATTAAAGGGTTGAAGCTCGGTTAAGTTAATTAATGGTTTGAAGCTACGGGCAGCGCGATGTCTGGCCGATCAATGGAGCAAAGTTCAGCTATTGAAAGGTTGCCTACATGTTTACAGTATAATTTACTACATATTGCCTGTGTGCATTCAGCAGGCTGCACTGGAGTTTGCCTGGTAACAGATGACGTAGAGGGGGGTCGCATGCACTTAGATTAACGACACAGACACATAGCCTGTCTGGGTAAACTGACTGCAAGTGTTGTTTAAGTCTGGACAAGTAGAATAACAGGATGCATCTGGAGGAACTGAAAGAGGAACTGTTCTGTTTTAGTGACGCGAGGTACTGGTCATCATAAGTATAAATATTACACCCACCTATTGTAAGGGGAAGATGGAGCTTGATGTTTTGCAGAGCCGATCTTCACCACATATATGTGTTTTAATAAAATAATTTGTGTTGACCCACTATGGACTTTCAGTCGTATGTCTCTTCCTCAAAATTCGAAAAGGTCATTTCAAAAATAAAACTATGAAGATACTAAAATTAAATTTCCTGTGATGGGAAACTATTTTGTGCAACTTTTTTGTATTTACAGTTTTGAGGGATAAGCCTCTTAAATTTCTCTAACTAGAAAAATATGTTAAAAAAACAAAAACGATTTTAAATTTTTTTGTAGTTTATTGCACCTTTTTGCAATTTTCTGTAATTACTATGCACTTAATGCATACATATTATTAAAATTTGGGCTATAATGGTTGTATTGATGTATATCAACTTGAAGAAATGCTCCCAAAGATGGCACTACAATATGTAAAAATATAATATAAGCTCTGGCGGACTTTGTTCTATGGTAGGTCTTAAAGGGTTAAAGATGGATCGAGCAATTTGGACATAAGCATAGACGGGAAATGATGCTGACACTGAGAATACCAGGCACTGAGGGTTTCCAGGAGGGCAGCTGAATCTTCTTTGCCCGGACTGCCCATGCCAAATAGTTCGAAACAGATCCTGGCTCTCAGAGCTGTTATTATTTGTTTTAATCTGTTAATGTCCAACCATCTGACTGTGCAGGTATGGATGACAAGAAGTTGTCGAAATATCAGAATCAGAATCAGAATACTTTATTAATCCCGAAGGAAATTAGGGTTACAGCAGGCAGCACACTAATGGCGCATGCGCACTTACAAAGGAACCATCTGACCAACTTTACACAAACATCACATTGGGGAGACATGTCATAAAGGTAGGCTGATAGGAAAAAAACAATGAAAATACATAACATGAGGTAAGAGGAGGAGAAAAAAACTCCAGTCAGACTGAGCTCCTAGTGGGAGAACAGTTTGATAACAAAAAAAAACACCTCAGCACAAAAAGCACATGACTGTCAATACGCCATAGAAACACAAGACAAGCAACAGGGGCGGGTAAAGGGTAAGAGAGAGCCGGTGTAGACAGCGCATCCGGTCCTGCAGCATGTCTGCGCTGGTCCAGTCGACTGCCATCTTCCCCGGTAGGGCACAACCATAGAAGGCATTTGGAAAGGGAGGGGGGGAACAGTCTAAACACAGTCGTTATCAGGGTGTTTTGTTCAGCTCCAGCCTTGAGGCCGCAGCTGGCGCCGATGGGGTCTCTGAATGAACAGACTGTGAGAGAGTGTTTCTTGGAAAAGTAAGTAAAAACACAAGACAAGACAAGGACATAAGAAGGGAAGATAAGGGCAGGAGAGGAGAAAGCGCGACCGCCTTCGCTGAAATAGACTACCTCGATGAGTTTCTTGGGAGTGTCCTTAGCGTGGATTACACACTGGCAAAAATCCCACAGCTGCGCGATATACCGAACACGTGAGTCCGCTGGATCCATTTGATGGTCGCGTTGTACTGTCACAACTCGGCTGGTAGTCGTGTGGAGGTGAGAAAGGAGGATCCAAAAGCAGACAGTGGCAGAGATGCAAGTGGGTTTATTTACAGTGCACAATAACCAAGGAGTGGGCAGAACCAAACAAAAACCTAAACTGGGAAACTACATAAAAAGGAGGAGATGGAGCGAGGAGGAGAGAGACACAGAGAAACACGGAATAACGTTGAATACACGGAAGGTTCACAGAGAAACACAGGCAGACACGCAGTATAAATACACACACCAGGTAATTAGGAAATGGTAAACAGGAGGGGACACAGCTGGAACTAATGAACATAACGAGACACAAACCTACAAAGTAAAACAGGAAACACACAGACTGTTTACAACACAAAACTCGGGGACCCGAACAGAGCACAGAGGGAAGACACAGGTAGGGATAATGGAGACACAAAGAACAAATACAAAACAGAATAAACTAGAAAACAATAATAGTAAACACAAAGCGCTGGGTCACCGATCCAGGACCATGACAATTGTGTAACTAGACATAACTGCTAACATAAACGCAATTTTATTCTCACTCTTAACTATCTGAACCCTTTCAGTTTCAGTTTCATTTGTCATAGCACAGGGTCAACATTGCAACGAAATGTATTTGATGAGCAGAAGACAGTCACTCAGCAGTATAGTACAGTATAGTACAGTAGTTTCATTGAACTAATAAATAAACAGCTCTTTCTGGCCAGACATGTGGCGGAACTTTTGCTACAATTTTGTTTGTATTTAACAAAATAAAAATGCAGACATAAGCGTACACATTAGTTTTTGACTGCAAGTGAAAATTGTTTTCTTTCCAAATAAATCTCTCACCGAACTAATACAGCCAATCCCTCAACACGTTTGCACTCTCTTGTTACTTCGGTCAGGTCCGAACCGTGTTAAGAAGACCTCTGGTTAATACTTTGGGTTCCGTGTCGGGGTCGTAGCTGGTAGTGATGGGATTTCCGGCTCATTTTAGAGATCCGGCTCTTTCGGCTCGGCTCACTAAAAAGAGCCGGCTCTTTCGGCTCCGAACCGGCTCTTCAGGTTGTTTTGTTGCTTTAATTAATTTATTATTAACAATAATATAAAATTATGCACAAAAGGAATTACTAATGTAAAAAAAGTGGTTTTATTTATATATGTTTATATATGGCCCCTAGAGACAAAGCACGTACAAACTCTAAAGCATATACAAACTCCAAAAAGCACGTACAAACTCCAAAACACATTTCTAGCGTTAACTGAACTTCCAAAACAGAGCTACCCAGATCACTTAAATTACACAATTGAAAGCATGTGTGTATTGTTTGTGTATTTATAGACAAGCACTCATATTTATTCAAATAATTAAAAAAAGTTCATTTACCTGTTACTACCACACACCAAATCCGGTTGTTGATACTTCCTGGCTTGTGTAGCCACTAGGTAACAAAAGCTCAACACTGCGCCCTAGCATCCTGGAGCACTTCTGTTGTCTTTTGTACGTGTTCTGAGTTTTTACGTTCTGAGTTTGTACGTGCTTCTGAGTTTTTACGTGTTTTGGAGTTTGTACATGCTTCTGAGTTTTTAAGTGTTTTGGAGTTTGTACGTGCTTCCGGGTTTGTAGTGCTCTGAGTTTTTAGTGTTTTTGGAGTTTTTACGCGTTTTGGAGTTTTTACGTGTTTTGGAGTTTGTACATGCTTAGGAGTTTGTACGTGATTTGAAGTTTGTACGTGCTTTGTCTCTAGGGCCACCATAAATATACTTTTATTTATTCACTCCACATAAAATGTAATAAATAAATCATATAATACAAAAAACAACTATTTACATTTAAACTTTTAACTATTTAAATTTTCAGCTTTTTCCTTTTAAACAAATTTAACGTGAAACAACACAAAACACTGCAAACCACAACACAATTAAATATAAATTAAAATATTAAAACAAAAAGAAGATGCACATTCTCTGTCATATGGGCCTGCATGATTTCTGAATCCTTTATCATCTGCAACTGAAAATAGTGGATGATTACTATACCTTTCTAATGTGACGTTGTTGTCCCTTGCTCTTTTTCTCTCTGGCTCTGTTCCTGTGCTACTGCGAGTGTAACTAACGCCCCTCCCCCCTCTGCCCAGCGCAAAGTACAGGCCGCGCGTGCGGAGTTTAGCGGAAAAAAAGGGCGAGAGAGAGAGTGAGAGAGAAAAAAAAAAAACCCACGGCTCCCAATAAGGAGCCGGCTCGCGTCGTTCACTTCAAAGAGTTGGCTCTAAGAGCCATTTCGTTCGCGAACGACCCATCACTAGTAGCTGGGAACTAGCTTTACTGTCTGGGTCAACTTTTCTAGACGACAGCGTGAAAACCATAGGTGATGGAGCTGCAGGCGACCGTGATGGCTGGACATGCTCCTCGGATTCCCCAAGGGAAGCTGCAGGTGACGGTGATAGCTGGACGGGCTCCTCGGACCCTCCAGTGGAGGCAGGCTGCTGAACGTGCCCCTCAGACCCTCCAGCGTAGGCAAAGGCTTGAAGCGGTCCCTCGGACCCTCCAGCACAGACAGAATGCTGAAGAGCAGAGGCTTCCTGTGAATCCAGAGGAGAAAGAATATGAAGGCATGTCATTGCTGACTGTGATGTAAAAAAAGGAGGGAAGAAGAGATTGAATCAGCGTGGGTCACTCTGTCATCATAACAGTCTCAATCAAGTTTATACAAAACCCATCAATCCATTCGCTTCCACTTATCCTTTCCAGGGTCGCAGGGGGCACTGGAGCCTTTCCCAGCTGTCATAGGGCAAGAGGCGGAGTACACCCTGGACAGAGAGAAGCACTGAAAGGCTGCTCCAGCAGAACTTTATTGTTTCGAAGGAAAACACAAACATAGCGTGCAGTTGAGTCTTTACAGCTTACTTACAACTGGGCTCGTCAGGCACTTTTTTTTGGCTGCAGTGGCTATTATTATATTTACATGCTTCCATCTCCCATTTCTGCTCGGTAGCACCTCACACTTTTCAACTTTCCTTTTGCTCCCTCCCTCGCGCTCACACACCCACAGCGGGAGGGGCGGTCCCACACATTCTCCCTGCAGCAAGGACTACACCGCCCATGAGGCGGGCCATGTCTGTAACATTCTGCCGTCGTCTTAAATCATTTTTCAAATAATAATTTAAAAAAAAATTCTTCACATTAATATGTGGGCCACAATTAGAGGTGACTTGGACCGCAAATGGCCCACAGGCTGCGAGTTTGAGACCCCTGGTTTAAATGAACTGACACCCCCGAGTCATTCTAATAATCAGAATCCTTGAAGCACAGGCCAAGGGGGTGGTGTGGCAGCAATTTTCCACACCAGCCTATTACTCAACCAAAGACTAAGGTGCTGTGGACTGATGAAACTAAAATTGAGTTATTTGGGCATAACAAGGGGCATTATGCATGGAGGAAAAACAACACAGCATTCCAAGAAAAACACCTGCTACCTACAGTGAAATATGGTGGTGGTTCCATCATGCTGTGGGGCTGTGTGGCCAGTGCTGGGAGTGGGAATCTTGTCAAAGTTGAGGGACAAATGGATTCCACTCAGTATCAGCAGATTCTGGAGACCAATATCCAGGAATCAGTGACAAAGCTAAAGCTGCACCTTGGCTGGATCTTTAAACTCCTATATGATGTATTTACCTGACAGTTTTTATTGTAACAACCAACGATTTATACAGGAAAATAATGACTATTAACTCATTCACTGCCAGCCATTGGCAGTGAATGAGTTAAACCCATTGACTCATTCACTGCAATTGACGGCTATAGACGTCAATGGCAGTGAATGAGTTAACAAGGTTAACAAGGTTGCCCAAACTTTTGCATCCCACTGTAGCCTTCCCTTCATTGACTCCCTGTGAAATCCAGAATTGAATTTTAAAACCTGTTCCTCACATATAAGGTCTTAAATAATCAGGCCCCATTTTATCTTAATGACCTTATAGTACCATATCACCCCATTAGAGTGGGGGCTCTCATAATGCAGGCTTACTTGTTGTTCCTAGAGCATTTAAAACTAGAATGGGAGGGAGAGCCTTCAGTTTTCAGGCCCGCCTTCTATTGAACCAGCTTCCAGTTTGGATTCAGGAGACAGACACTATCTCTACTTTTAAGAGTAGGCTTAAAACTTTCCCTTTTGATAAACCATATACTTAGGGCCAGATCAGGTGACCCTGAATCCTCCTTAGTTATGCTGCAGTAGGTGCAGGCTGCTGGGGGATTCCCATGATGCACTGTGTTCCTTCTTCTCTCACTGTTTATATACTACTTGGGAGTTAATGTATAGGTATTATAAATCTCTGGCTCTCTTCCACAGCATGTCTTTTGTCCTTCTTGCTTGTCTCTGAGTATGTATCTGTCTTTGTATCTGCTGGGGTTTTCGTCCTGTTAAAAAAAGAGTTTTTCCTTCCGACTGTTGCAAAGGTGTTTGCTCATAGGGGGCCAGATGATTGTTGGGATTTTCTCTGTATATAATATTGTAGGGTCTACCTTACAATATTAAGACCCTTTGTAGCTGAGCTATAAATAAGTAAGTAAGTAAGTAAGCAACACTTTAGGTCTGTCCACACCACCAGGATCCTCTCACTCGCCTTTTCTTTGTCCTCGTCCTTCATCAGCCATGCTGAGTCTTTGTTCATGTGGTGTTGTTCCCATGATGTAGTGCTGATGTTCCTGCCTTGAATGCACAACAAGTACAGTGCTGGTCTTTTCTCTCTTAAGATGAAAAAGCATCTTTCACTTCTCCAGAACAAAGGTCCAGAGTTTGATCCCTCCTAGTATAACAGGAAACATACTTACCAGAGTTTCAAAGTTTCTTTGTAAGCAGACATGAGTCAAATGAACCAGTATGAGTTTGGCTCCTGCGGTTTGTATATCATAAACAGTGTAGAAGCAGAGGCAGCATGTGCATGCATGTGAATGTACACTCCTCTTAAAAGAGTTGTGGTGCCTAAACTAAAAAGGACATAGCGATACTGCTGGAAGTTCCAGGACAGTCACAGAGTTACAGCATCATTTGTGAACATAATGAGAGAAAGGTCATCCAAATCCCGGGATTAAAATTATGTACCCCTGTTGCGTCCAGTAAAACATGTCTCTTTGAACACTTCAGTTCCACAGGCTCCAAAATACTTCTGCTCATTTCATGTTATCCTCCCCACTCCATTTTTGCACTCAGTCTTTTGTGCATCATTAACACTCATGTGTGGAAAACCAAAGTTTTCCTGAACAGAAGATGATCATCAGTGATGCTGTCTTTAAAATATGCTTGTTAGAAATGTACAACTTTAATGTGAAAAATTAAGAATTTTTTCTCTTGTTGTGTTTGTTTGCAGCTGCTTCCTGCTGGAAAAAGTCCTGTTGGACTTCAAATATGTCAATTTCTTTCTACCTTCACCCTTAAAAGTGAAGCCATTTGGGTCCTTGAATGAAAAACATGATTTTTTTAAAGTCTTTTTCAGGTTTTTATGATAAATGTATGACTTTAATGTAGAATATTCAGTTTTTTCTCTTGTTGTCTTTGTTTTAAGCTGCTTCCCGTTGGCTTTAGCTGTTTGGAGTTTCCATTTTCTAAACTTCTACATTCGGAACCTTCTTCAGCTCTGAACAGTATATGAAAAACTGAATGATTTCAAACACAAACTTTGTCTAATAAACTTACATCTTTCATTCTTTATACAGATTGGTCAGCTGCAGTTTGTCAGAGATCAGCTGTGAATATCTGGCAGCAGCACTGAAGTCCAACCCCTCCCATTTGACAGTGCTGGACCTGAGCATGAACAAGCTGCAAGATTCAGGAGTGAAGCAGCTGTGTGGTTTTCTGGGGAGTACAGGATGTGGACTTGAAACTCTGAGGTCAGTCACTATGTTTTAGTTTTGCTGAGATGAAGATGATGTGAAAGTTCATGCTGACTCTAAACTGCAGATATAAGGCTGAAATTATACTGATCCACACTGAGGATCTTCATGGTAAAGTCTGTTTCCTTCTTATCTGGTTTAGTCATTTGACTGTAGCAGAACAATGTTCACATTTGAAACAGTCACACACAACATATGGCCCACTGCCCACATGCCGGACTCCATAGGTTGCTGACTGGCCGCCAGTCTGTCGCAGGGCTAACACATAGAGACACAGACAACCAATCGCACCCATATTCACTCACAGATTCACACGTATGGGCAATTTAGATTGACCAATTAACCTATCCCCACTACAAAATCCACAATTTATTATAATGTCCATGCTCATCATTAAGCAGCTAGAATTTTGATCAGATGAATCCTAACTTTACAATTGATTTGAAATCTAATGATTCAGCTGTAAACTGATTACGTTTCATCATGAAATGTAATCAGATTGCAATCAGAGCATCTGCAGCTACTTTTAAAATTTTTGAGTTCAGTTTTAGTCTAACAATCATTTCAGTGTCATCTTCACTCAGATATTTACATCATCTCCAAAATCCACCTGTCACACACACTTTTCCATCAGTGTGATTGATTCTAATCAAACAATGATTGATTACTGATCAGTGTGTAACACAGTAAATGTTTGTATTGCAGGAAACTTCCAATCATAGATTTTATCCTGAGCTGATGTTAAATCTGTGATGTCATTGCCATCCCAATCCTGATATACTGATGACTTATTGCCTGTAAAAGCTTCATGTTTAACAAACTAATGTTTAACTGGGAATTCTGCTTTTGTAACAAGGTAAACTTGTGTAGATGAACTCTCTCCTCTGAGCTTTGACTTTATGAATGAGGAAATGACTCAGTGTCAGTCAGCTGTAGATCAGTGTACAAGCTCAACCATGAAAGAAAGAACAGCCAACAGATATTTGCCCCTCACACCTGTGTGAATCATTATCATGTGTTTGAGTTAATCTGTGACTGAAGTGTAATAGTGTTTAAAAGTAAATGAGGAAATTAATGAAAAAAAAGTGGGATTAATGATTAAGAATAATAATAATAAGAAGCTGACAACCAGCTGTCATGCTGCTAATGTTTCTCAGGACCTGCTGTATATGTTGCATTTACAGTAAACAAACTGAAAATCATTGCGGAGCTAAGCCCGAGGATTTCTGATGATCAACAATAATTTGATGCAGTTTGATCACAACCACATTTAAATATGTGTTGATGTAGAAGTTAGTAGATCATATTCTGACTTTACACTCTAATAATTATAAATGCTGCCAAATATAAGAACAGGAATATGAGAATTATGAGAATAGATATATATAAAAACATAAGAATGTATAAATTGTAATGTAAAAATTCCCCACTCGCCCCTGTGGGAGGTTAATCCTTCAAGCTCGGGTCCTCTACCAGAGGCCTGGGAGCTTGAGGGTCCTGCGCAGTATCTTAGCTGTTCCTAGGACTGCTCTCTTCTGGACAGAGATCTCCGATGTTGTTCCCGGGATCTGCTGGAGCCACTCGCTTAGCTTGGGAGTCACTCCACCTAGTGCTCAGATTACCACTGGGACCACCGTCACCTTCACCCTCCACATCTTCTCGAGCTCTTCTCTGAGCCCTTGGTATTTCTCGAGCTTCTCGTGTTCCTTCTTTATGATGTTGCTGTCATTCGGAACTGCTACATCAGTTACTACGGCCGTCTTCTTCTGTTTGTCTACCACCACTATGTCCGGTTGGTTCGCCACCACCATTTTGTCC